TGCTTGCAGCTCGTCTACGCCTTCTTTCTCTTATTTCTCGCTCTTGCCTCTTCAAGACTTCCTCCATGTCTGACATTGTGAATGGAATGTGAAATATGAAATCTCAAATTTGAGAAATGAAATTTTTGAGAAGATGTAGTGTGAGAGGTTTGTGAGCTTAGCCTTAGTTTTATAAACAAATTTAGGTCGATAGACATGACACGTGGCGCAATTTGATAGGGTGAAAATCTTATCTGAAATATGAAATTCAAATGAAATGTATCTGAAATGTGAAATTTAAATGAAAAGTTGAAATTCAAATGAAATTTATCTGAAATTTGAAATTCAGATGACACGTGGAGCAATTTTATAGGGTTAAAATCTTATTCGAAATTTGAAACTCGGATGAAATTTATCTGAAATTGAAATTCAAATGAAAAGTTGAAATTCAAATGAAATTTATATGAAATTTGAAATTCAGATGAAATTTATATGAAATTGAAAATTTGAAATTTATCAGAAATTTGAAACAAAAATTTATCTTAAATTTGAAATCGAAAATCTTATCTGAATATTTTATCAGAAAATCTCATCCGAAAATATTGTCCAAATTAATTGTTTAAGTAAACAAATTTGTGAAAAAAAACAAAAAATTGAATAGTACCACCCCCTTGCCATGACAATTGCTGGAAGTGCAACTTACTATTTGCAAAGGCAGACACTATTCCTAGTGTCAGCCCTAGCCCCCCCTTGCCATAGCAACATTCTCACTGCTGGAAGTGCCCTTAGTGTATTATCAACCATACACAAAAATATATCTACTTCCTTGTTTCCCTATTTTGGAACTTATCATGGCTAACACCACATGCCCGCATTAAAACACACACTAATGCCTATGTCACATATCCTAGAGATTTTTGGGCAAAACATTATTGTAACACCTCTTTCAATTTCTTCTTTTCTCACTTCGGTTTCTTTTCTTCTTTTTTTTTTTTTTTTAATTAATGAGAAACAGAGAGATGTTATTAACATGCCATAGAAGTACAAAATATAGTGGTCAAGCTGTCCACCGGAAGGCATAAAAGACCCACAACTCAACAGCACAGAGTAAACAACGTCCAATAGTAACCTGAGTATAATAATAATTACAAAAATGCTAAGCTAGATAAAGAGAGTGCTGAAAAAAATCCAGTTTGTGTGCTAAAGCTTTAATGTAACAGTGCTATCAAATAAACAATCTTTAGACACACCAGACAAACACTTTAACCACATGAAGATGATTATTTCTTTTGATAAATTCTGTCCCTAATGAATGCAACACGAATTAAAATTTAAAACCACATGAGGATTGCGGAGCATCATCTGCTAATAAGGACTCTGGAGCATCTCTCTTTTCCTTCTATTCTCAAAACCAACCGATGTCATTAGTGTGTCAATATATAGGATTGAAAGCTAACCCTGTACTGCAATTGCAAATACTGGTTAAGGACAGCACTAGATTTGCTGATAAGTATGTAAAATGGATATGGATCAGCCTTGTCAATTTCTAGAAAATCGTATAACAGAGTACTGAAATTGAAACCACATAAGATAAGCAAAGCGCTTTGTTTGACAGAAAAAATTAGAATTGCTTCAACTTAGACCACATATTTCCTCGAACAGATACCAAGAAGCATTGCTTGTCTACGCACACCATAAACACCTATATTTGCTTTGCAACTATATATAATAAAACATACAGGTATAAACATCATGCAAGAGCTGAATTGTCCTCCCCTGTTCTTCTATAAACCCAAGAAAGTCTTTGCCTTTTACAAACCAAACAACCTATCAGTTAGGTATTTTATTGCAATGCATGATAAATTGACAATGTTTGCCTAAAAACAAACTCCTTGGTCCTTTTTATCACGGAAAATTGCACCTTAAAATAAAAGCAAACACAAATTACAGATTTTCCAAGAGAGAAGCTTACAATTGACCCTTGGGAATATGAGAAATCTTGGGCTACTCGGGCGTCTCTCCTTGTTGATGTGTTCTAAAGTTTCCAAGGTGCAGCTAGATACTACAGATTCCCATAACTACAAATACAAATACACAGTTTTTCAATACATGAAAGGTAGGTTCGTCAACTTCTCTGGTCCATAGAGAGAGGAACATAACAGTGGAAGGAACATGACAATTTGTAGCATATTTCGAGCCAGCAAAACAGAGTTGCAAGATTCTAGCCCATGACAAAAGGTAGGTTCCTCCCCTTAAATGTTTTCCAATTTGTCTTTGAAAGTTAGTACATTTCCCCTTGCCCATAAATAAAATAAAATAAAATAAAGTTAAGCACATTTCCCCGGCACCTAGGCATATTCAATCCACATCAAAACTTCGTCTCTCTCATCCATGCCCTTCTCACTCTATCAGCTCGCCTCAAAACCCCAAAAGCAAAAATAGAAAGAAAAACAAAAAATACCACTTTCAATTTTAGATAAAGAAAAAAAGAACATAACATTTCTTCATGCAAAAAGTACTTGATTCCAGACCGCAACAGTTGAAAAGTACTAGATTTGGGCCACACAGTGTGGCATGATGCAGACATGAGTTCCTACCTGAATCCCAACTCTGCCTACGGGTCAAATGCAACACCAAAACAACTTAGGAAAAAATATACATAATAAATTCCAACTTTCAACATACCATAGTACAAAGCTTGCAAGTATCATCTACAAATTGCAACAGAGGTTATATCAATTACAGACAAGAAATGGGTTGACATGCCACCAACAAAAGTTATACACGCATCCCAGCATTAGAGAACAGGGTATGTCAGAACAATAATGGTACTGAAACTGATGCTTAAGACTTAAATATTTGTCAATGGTTATCATAGCATTCAAAGAAACAACGAACTCCACTCCACTTCATTTTTTGTCCTTGGATGCTAAAAAAATGTAGGTTCAAAATGTGAAAAAGTCCTGCATGTTTGCATCTATTACCTTCTTCTTCTTTGTTCTGTTTCAATTAAGTTATTACGATGCAAATAAATCCTCTCTATATATCAATCTCTCTCTCTCTACCCACCCCTTCAGGCCCTGAAAAGAAAAAACGAAAATGCTCAGCCTTATCAACTTCATATAGCAGAAATACTGAAATTAATAATGCACAAGAATATATTTACTCAGACTAGACACATTACCTCTAACCAAGTGGTGATAAAGAATTCACAAATACCGAGAAGCATTGCCTTGAAACGAAAGGGTACCTGCTCAATGTTAAACGGCATGCCTAAGAAAATATTTATATGCAAAAATAAATACCAATCATGGAGTGATAAATACCTATAATTGTAATTCTAATCAAACACACAAGTACAGAAATCATGCTAGAGCTGAATTGTAATTTCACTCTCCCACTAATAGACCATTTTGACTATATCCTTAATAGAATTGGTAATACTAAATGAATGCAGATAAACTCCTGAACAAAAGTTGTCAAAGCAAAAGTTAAACAACTTAAGATCAACTCATTGGTAATACTTCTCTTAGAGGCAGTGAGCAGCTAAGAGAAATTACTAAAATCCTGTTTACTTGATACTTTCCGCAATTCTTTATAAAATCAGCAATTAAAAAACATCTTACAGCTTCCTTTGAAGTCTTTCCCCAAGAGACGAGCCCATTAGAAGACAAGTGGAAGTGGGAGTTTGAAAAGCTTACATTTCTTCTCTGTCAAAGTTGGAGCTCTTAGGAATTTATTGTACGCATAGAGTCCATTTGTCTTCTGTCTAGTCATCGAACTGACAAGAAAAAGGAGAAGGATAAACAAGTCTTATTCCTTTGAGAAATTATTCAGAATGAATAAACTCTAGTTAAACAGAAAGGTGAAGATTGAAAAGGAAATTTGATTTCAGGAAAGAAGAAATTACTGTCTGTTAGTATGAAATTTGTATTGTCATTTCCTAGACTCTAGCATAGGTAGAAAATTAGTGTGTGAAGAATTGTTACTAGACGTTTTGGCACAACTCATTTAACCCTATACTTCCGAGGCATGACCTGACCATATGAGAAACTTGACAACAGGTAAATCATGACATAATCATGCATTCATTATAGGATTCCTAGTTGGAATTATTTTCACTCAAGTATTTTTATGCTAATTCTATTTTTAATAGGATTATATTTTATCTCTTGGGATTACTTTCCTAGTTGGACTCTATTTTGATTTAGATCAAAATATTATGTTTTCATTATCTTGGACTTGGAAAGGATGTTTTAATTAATATCCTATTTGGTTTCGTGTTTACATCTTGATATATATTGTTTAATTGGATAAACAATTGATTGTAGTGCAATGGAGAATATGACGAAATCATATAGGATTCTAAGACTATCAGATTGAATGCATGGCAAGATATTGTGTTGTGATTGTGGGCCTTCACGTGGATTGTGGAGAATAAGTTTTGTATAAATCTTTGTGTGCATCTCTTTAGTTTGTGAGAGTTTTCATATAGTTGGTTTGAGCATCTAAAATTCTAAGAAAGCTGCTGTGCATATATTTGAGATAAATCATCAAGTGTTCCATGTTTACTTGGTGATTTATCAAACACTTTAATCATTCATATTGCATTCATTTGCATTGATCGGTGACTCATACGGTTGAGGGCACCAAGACCGTGGTGGCGGTTTTCCTCCGGCGAGCTTGAAGCAATCGTGACCAGTATTGCGTTCAACATAAGGAGTGTCGAAGATCATCCCATGACAGAAGTTGAGTTACGAAGAAGTCGGTAAACATTATCTAGAATGTGTCTAGGATAAGTGTGTGAGTACTTGTAATCATTGTTCTATAGTGGATTTATGTTGGACTGAGGAGTCCCGTGGATTTTCCCTAGAGGAGGGGTTTTACCACGTAAAATAATTTATGCGTGTTCTTTTACTTTAAGCTCTGCACATCTTAAGATTGATAACTCATATCAATCCTGCTTTAAAAGTTAATTGTTGTTTATTGCAAAATATCCGAATTAGCCTGTTTAACATTCTCTAGGCATATATAGACATCCTACAGGTATTTTCACTGTCAATATATGGAATGTGAGAAATCTTTGGCCATTCTGGGGCCGCTGTCCTTGGTGCATCTTTCCTTCAGAAGGGGACAACCCCAAATGTCTAATTTGGTGAGGCGTTGCATAGCTGTGACACTAGGTAGATACATCAGCTTCTTGCAAAATACAATTCTCAGCATCGTAAGGGATGTAAGGTTACACAACCAATCCTCAAGAGCCTCCACTCCATCGAATTTCCATATATCCAAAAATGTTAGAGAAGTGAAGTCTTGAATTTGTTGAGGCAGAGACTTGAGCTTGGGCCATCCGGTCAAATTTAATATTTGAAGTTGTGATGATCCAGTTCCAAGATGGAAATAAGGGAAGGAATCAAGCTCCTCCCAGAACGCACCAAGTTCCAATGTCTTCAAGCTGGAGCAGCAGTGTAGCCCTGTAGGCAGATATTTTAATTTCCCACAATTAACAATCACCAACTTAGAGAGCGATGTGAGGTTGTCTAAACTTGGAAGACTCTCTAAATTAGGGGCATTTCTTATTTTCAACTCCACAAGAGAGGCTGACAGTTGTGGGCCACTACTCCCCAAACTTTGTAATCTCCCACAATCTTTAATGATCAGTTGACGGAGGGATGTGAGGTAGCTTAAAGCTAGAATAGATTGTAGACCAGGTTCAAGATGGAAACCAGGGAAGGAATCGAGCTCCTCCCATAACCCACCAAGTTCCAATTTCTTGAAATTGGCGTAGTTGCTTAGTAGCCCTGTGGGCAGATATTTTAATTTCCCACAATTACCAATTACCAACACAGAGATCGATGTGAGGTTGTCCAAACACACTCTCTCTAAATTAGGGGCATTTCTTATTATCAACTCCACAACAGAGACGGGCCTACTGCTCCTCAAACTTTCTAATCTCTCACGAGATTCAATGCTCAATTTATGGAGGGACGAGAAGAGGTTCAAATCTGGAATAAATTGTAGACCACTACAACCTATTATAGACAGCAACCCCTCAACATAGACAGGCCCACCGCTCACCAAACTTTTTAATCTCTCACAATATTCAATGCTCAATTCACTGAGGGATGTGAAGCTATGCAAATCTGGAATAGATTGTAGACTAGGGCAACTGTATACAACCAACTTTCGAAGAGATGCACAACAACCAAAGATATAGTGGGCAATACAAGTTAACTTCTCACAATATCTTATCTCCATATGTTCCATCTCCTTATTACCTAGTATCCCCAACTCCTTCAGAGATGGAAGATGACTCTGGGAGCCTTTCTCAATTTGGGACATCGCAACATCTCCAGCTTCTCCAGGCGAGGAAACACCATGACTTGTTCTGGTGCTTCCATCCATTCAATTAGCTCCTTGCAATAATAAATGCATAATTCTTTCAGTGCTGGAAATACGCCATTTCCATAAATCTCTTCTCCAACACATTTTAGATTATCCATTCTTTGAATCCAAACAACTGTAAGATGAGGTAGATGACCCAGTGTTGGGACTTTTTCACATCTTGCACCCCCAAAGCTTAATCTCCTTTAAATTTTCAAGCTTAATCATCCATGATGGAAATTTAGTACCCATGAAATATCGAATCTCTAGCCTTTCCAACTTAGAATGCGACTGGAGGCCTTCTAGTACATCATCATCATTATTATTCTCAGAATGTGGCTGGAGGCCTTCTAGTACATCCTCATCATTATTATTGTTGGTTATTGACCATGTAAATATCAAGCTGTGTACGTTTTTCATATCCTTTAATTTAGCTATCCTTGCCTCATCTCCATTCCTTACATCTTCCAATTTACAAATATTCAATTTACCCTTTGATTCAAGGCAGCCAGCTCCTCAATTTCCCTACCCATCACCTCATAATCCTCATAAGGTAATGCTCGGAGGAGCGTTAATCTCCCTAATACTCCAGCTGGAAATTTTATTCCCTCATCACAATAAACATGTCTCAAGTTGATCAAGTTTTGCACGTCTTTTGGAAATTCTTCAAGGTTGCAGTATCTTGCTCTTAATGTTTGTACGTTATATAGCTTGCCAATAGAATTTGGGAGTCTTTTGATTTTTGTAAAGGAAATGTCAAGATATCTCAAGCGTTTCAGCTCTTCGATTGAACTTGGAAGCTCCTGAATAATATATGCCCCATATAATTTCAAGACACGTAAAGATTTAAACCATGGCAACATGTTTCCAGGTAGTGCTTCAGCATTCGAAAACAGTGATCTCAATTTCCCACTACTTCCTTCTGGAATTCTTTCTATAATGGGAGTTGCAACATCTTCATCCTCGTGGAAGTCTCGCATCATGCTTCCAGTTTCAGATACATGTTCTGCAAGATCATGTATGAGATCGTGCATCTTTCATTCAATAACAATGCCATCATCATCCAGTCTAGCATCTTGAAATAAGGATCTTTGGAATAGAATATCAAAATATTCATTACCTATATCCTCCATCTCTAGATTACTTTTTTTCAAGAGAAGGATGGAGGAACCCTTGAGCCATCCAAAGTTGAATCAAGTCATCTCTTTCCATCTCGGCATCTTTCTTGAACGCTGAGCAATATGAAAAACATTGCTTCAGTGTTGGTGATTCCAAATTATCGAAACTCAACTTCAAGACTGACATGATTCTATCTTCTGTCTTTGGTAAGTCCCATATTCTATTGTCTTTGACTTTAGACCATTCATTATGAGTCTTTTTAGAGCGCAAAATGCCTCCCAAAACCTGGTAATGAATTAGAGAATTTCTATCAAATAATTAGTAGATAAAATAATTAGCAATTTAAAGAAGAGTCATTCTGATATAGTGTCTTGCAACTAAAATAGTCTAGACAAAAACCCACATACTTCTAACTAAAACCCAAAAGTTGAATTGAACGGCAAAATTATCCATTAATAATGATTTATTAACAATCCCATGCCATTAATAATGAATTTTTAATAGTTTAATATCTTTTAATAGCAAATTGATAGAATATCTATAATTTGTAAATTTGTAAATCACAGTGACAAAATTGGCTACAATTTTTTTTTTTTTTCTGAGTAACCATTTTTAAATTTCATATAAAACCCAATCATGAAAAACATTTTTAACCCTTAGTTTTATATTTGTTAGGTAAATTAAAATTAATTACTAGAAGCAAGGTTTTTAGCGAATCACCACACCAATAAGCAATATTTTCTTGAATTTGAGGTTTGGCAATTTACATATATCAATATTGAGGTTAATTAAAGGTTGGAGACATCACTGAGAGGCTAATTAAATGTCTTATGAAGCATCTTTGTTAATTTCTATTTAATAAAGTGATTATGAAGAAAGAGATTGTGGAGAATGGGCATGACATGATGACATGAAACAAAAAGAGAAATCGACAATCTTCTTTCTCTTCCTTCAGACCTTGTTATTTCTTTCTACATGAAAATTCATTAATGCAATTCAAAATAACTCATTCATGATATGATCCCTAAATTCCCAAAAATCATCCAATAATCTAAAGCCTAAATAAAAATGCTTGATGTAAGCAATGCTTGTGTAAAAAATACATATATGTATGTATAATATATAGTACGTGTACCTGTGCCATCAATGGTAAACCTTCACACTTTTTAGCAATCTCCCGTCCAATTCTCTCTAAACTACCATCTGAGCAAGCTGCATGTTTCAATATGGACCAACATTCATCTGTTGATAGAAGGTCCAATTTAGGCCGCGGAAGTGTTTCTGTGAGTGGTGCAACTATGCCACTGCGGGTAGTGACAATAATTTTGCTTCCTGGAGCAGAATTCAACAAAAACAATGCACGACGGACTCTTCCGTCGTGCGAGATACATGAACTTTGCGCTACGAAATAATATTCGTCGCGCATACAAATTTCGCGTGACGACACAATTTGTCGTGCATACACATTTTGCGCAACGAAATTCTTCGTCGCGCATGATTAAAATATATTTGTCAACGGGTTTATTTAAATGATTTTGCGCGACGAATTACGTTTCGTTGCACAAAAGCAATATATATTATTTAAAAAAATTATTATTATTTGATTTTTAATTTTGTAAAAAAATAAATTTGGTTTTTTTATATAATTAAAATGAAATTACAATAAAAAGATTAATCGCAAAGAAAACATTTATTATATAAAATAAAAGCAGAATCACCGACATCTGACCCTCAAGTTTTTTAATTTTTTAAATTTTTTTATTCAATAATATGTGAGTATTTTGTGTGTATTACTGAAAATTTTGTAACAAACAAATGTATTAAACATGAAAAATACGTACATATATGTACAATACGAATATTAAATGTGAAAATGTTAAATTCTTTATATGGGTAATAACTCTGAAAAGAAAAAACTCGAAAGGGGACAATAGAAATACAGGTAATTGCCTAATAGTAATGAATAATGCTCTAAACTCTTATCGATAAACAAAAATCATGGAAAAACAACCCCAAAAAAGAGAGATATTTAGTGATATACCCATTCTTAGCTCTAATATTATAAATAAACCTTACACAATTGAATTTCTATAAACAAACGTAAAAAAAACCTAAAAAATGACAGCTGGCCTTGTTGAATTTAATATTGATTATTAAATTACTTTGATGCTATATTGAGTGTTTTGGGTATTTTTATGAGATTTTGGGGTTGGGCTTGTTTTAAGAAATTGATGGCAGTTTTGTAATTTATTAGAAGTTAAAAACTTTTTTGTTATGTTGTAAATGGGCTTTGGGTGTATTTCTAAAGTCCATTTTATATGGGGTATTTTTATAATTTGGGCTCCTATATTTGGTATAATAGTGAATCTCCAAAAAAAAACAAACAATATCTATGTAAAGCTTATAGCCGAGCGGCTATACTATTTATAAAACAGAATTTAAAAAAGACCCCAGTAGAGCCGACCGGCTATACTGTTTTTATATTAAAAAAATAACTCGGCATATGGCCGGTCGGCTATACTATTTGTGAAAATAAAAATAAAACGCCAGCCTATTTTAAAAAGGTATAGCCGCGCGGCTATACTCTAGAACTTCTCAAAAGTATAGCCGGCCGGCGATGATCCATAGATCGAATTTCTCAAAAGAATAGCCGTGGGGCGATACCTATTGAATACTCTGAATTTCTCTTTTTCAATCACTATAATTAGTAGTCCTTGTGACTGCATCCCACACCTGCAGAATATTGTTAAATTTTAACTTACATTGAACTTGAACCTGCACAATCACTTTAGAATTAGTTAAGTTATAGATCAAACCTTAATGACCCTATCCTCCCCACACGTGACTACACACAGCTGTTTGTTGGAATATGAGAAAGCAAGATGATTAACACTACCAGCATGAGCCTCGATCTGAAAACAAGAGGACAACCACACAGCTGTTTGTTGGGATAGGAGTATATGTGTTTAGAGTATGCTACACCTGCAGTAGGAACCTGTGATCATAACCAGCTTAAGATTCATTTCCTATTTCTTGATAATACTTTCTTGTGATGAACTAGCAGGTGTCTACTTCACAATATGAGAATAGAATTAAATAGACACTAAACAAAGATGCCTATGCTTACCTAAAAGTGTCCCATCAGGGCTCCACATCATGCGGTTGATTGATGCTATATAGTCACTGGCCAAAAATGCCTAAACAGAGATCCTCCTTGCCAAACACCTAGTATGGGGCTGGAAAAACATGGACAATTTTAATAGAACTGGAAGTAGGTATGCTTAAACAGAGTATTACAGATCAGGAGAAAAGTTACTCTTGTTGAGGAGTTATGTCAAGAGGCCGCAGCTCCCTCTCTCTGAAAAATATCAATACAAACTTAAGGATGATTTAGTATTAAGTCTGGCATTGCATAATTGAACGGAAAAGAGATCAGTACATACAGTCTATCAGCAAGTCGAGGAAATAGTGTGCTTCCCCCGGCTAAAATAATGCTGGCCAACACATTCAGACACAAGGGTAAGTACTGACAATAATTTTTTTTTTCTTTCAAGTAAAATGCAGAGTTTGGAAGGTCACTTTCATGGAGTACAGGGTGAAGATGAAGATGGCAGGAACTCACAGCTCAAACTATGAACTCCGCTAGCCCAGCCTGATTCATTCTTGCAAAACAGGTCCAAGTTAGCGCTTTTGCCTTGTAAGAAATCGTAGAGTTCCCAAAGGAATGAGCAAAAATCATTACTAAATCACATACAGTGTTCACACAAGTTATAGAATTTCTAAATACCTCCTATTATGCCACAGAGTGTCATATTCTACAGAAACAACTAATCTACATGAATCAAGCAACAAGTTGCAGAAGTAATAACCCCTAGCGAACATGAACCACAAAAGGATACTGTAATGTTTCAATCAACAAAAAGAATCATACATCGTATTTGTTTCAAGAATCGAACTAAAACCCCAAAAGTGTGTACTTTGAAACCAGAATATAAGACAAACCAAAATAAGCAGGATGGAAGATCATGTCCGGCACAAGGAACCTTTCACTTGTCAAGTCAAATTCCTGCCCAAAAACAACAAACACCACTCAGAAGTGGAAAACAAACACAACCAGTTACTAAATTAGCTCAAATATATGGGAGAAAGATTACATTCTTGGTAGGCCTTTGTCTTAAAGAAAAGTTTGTAACGCTAATAGAGAGACCACTCAAAAAGGATAAATAAAAATGATGCTGATTGGGGGGGTCCCTACGAAATCATTTTGCCAAAATGTTCGTTAATGATCAACACTGAACGGTGACAGTCGTGTAAATTGAGTAACAACTAATAACCAAAGTGTACTTCCACTTTTATAGTGGTCTTTCTAATAAGCCAACAAAAAAAACCTAATAGGAGAATGAAACAGTAATGGCGGTGTCTGAGCCGTGTAACAGTAAAATTGATATTTTATTTAAGGAAAAATATTTTTATCATAATAGTCGGGTATAAGGTACTGCGTACCTTGCGGAAGATCCCAAATGTGAAGAACGCTTGCAATTACTAGCCCGCCAAGATGCTTGGACGTCACGAAGATGCGTCACGTTCTTCGTCTCCAAGGTGGTCAGATTGGCTATAAAAATTACTTCATGAATTCGACGTACCCAAGACCAAGGCTCTTGGTGAATTGCCTTGAAGAGTGTTTAGGGAGATATATGAGGTTTTCTCTATGTGGGTGTATTGCTCAGAATATGCACTCTTCATATGCACACACTCACACCCTCACCAACACTTTGAGTTTGCACTCGCATTTCTGCTCACTAACACACATACTCCGTCTATCCGTCTATTAGTAGGAGTGGTTTGGCTCCTCTTATCTTAGAGAGCACGAACGTACATTAGTGGTAATGTGGGTGGAGCATGTGGACTTTATGCAATGGCCAACATAAGGTAGTGCAGCTTTCCCCTTGTCAACTTTTATTACAAAACTTAAGGGAATGAGGGGAAATAAAATATTATAATCGTATCAAAGGCAACCAAATACAGTAAATGTGCATAAGAGGGTGACTTGCCAAAAAGAATACATAAGGTGTTTTCCCTTTTAAAATTTGTGGGAATTCTTTTTCGTAGCAAAAGAAAAAGGGAATACTTAAATTTTCATAAAAAGAAAGGGAATAATGTTGAATAGTGAAAATGTAATTATTGTCTTCCTATTTACTAAACATTTTATTCCGTTAAAAAACAAAACAAAAACAAAAAAACAAAAAAACAAAACAAAACAAAAGATTCCCTTCAAATTTTTAACATACGTAAAATATGGTGCTTCAGGAAAAAAAAATTTTATAAATTTCAAAAGTTCAAACCTAGTATCTCTACCATCACCACACCCTTCCCACGCTACTTGAGTTAAGGGGCTATGGAAGAATAACTCATTTCCAAAGTTGTGCATATACCATACTTTTCATCTATAAACTTCCTCCATTTCTGCAAACCAAAGCTACCTACCGAGTTATGAAGAATTTCAGAAACGAGGAGTCTTTGAAGAAAGGCTTCATCAGGAGGAGAATGCTGATCTTTCAGCCATTACACTAGTGGTTCATTAAACATGGTGGGGCGTCTGATACAAAATAAATATATAAAAAATGGCAAATGGTCGAACAGAATCTGTAAAAGGCAAATTCATATACAACTTGGTAACGAACAGAAATATTACATAAATTGTTTCAAAAACTCTGTGGCCACCAGCCTCCCCCGTGTGTTCACTGACATCTTTAATTCACTTATCTCTTTATCAATATCCTGTAATCCAAGAAGCAACGGAGTAAGAATATCAAAGTATAAACTTAACAGCAGAGCAAATATAGAGAACCAACATATTGATATCACACATCTTCAGATTAAGCGCTTGAAATTCCATATCAGTCAATAAAGATCCAACTAGACCATAAAAATATCCGACAATATAAGCCTTGGGCCATATAAAATGCAATCATCCTACTGACTAATATCTATATGACTTCCACTTAATGGAAACATTCCTCTAACAGATTAACACCAGTAGCAACATAAGCAAAGAGACAGATAGAGAAGCAAGCCAGATGTGCTTCTCTTGACACTGATTACTGCCAGTGAGTAAATTTTCAAATCTAATATTAAATAAAAAAAACGATGGTTTGGCTGGATTGCTAACAAATACCAGGGGGGGTGGGGAAGTTAACAATTTGTGATTTGTGATAAACCAAACTGACATTAGCAATGAGCCTGGCCACCAAAGTCCATTTCGATTGTTATCTCTGCATGTAGATGATGCTGTAGTGCACCACCACATAAAACACTGAACCGAAAAAATGTAAGGTGTAACTTTTGTCATATTGTATAAGACAGTAGTTGTAGTTGCATTGACTTAGGACACAAAAGATGAGAAGAATAATTGGAGTGTGAAAGCCTCAATGAATGTAGCTATTGATTGATATGGAACCCAAAACAAAAAGAAAACAAAAAAAGAAAAAGAAAAACGAAAGGAAAACACAAAGAAAATTGTTTTCTCAGAGTACCAGCTCCAAGGCCTCTTCATACAAAAGGAATGAGTTTGCATCAAAGCTATACATAGTCAAATGGCTACTATTCATGCAAAACGACAGGAAACTTGGGTTTTCGAAACTTCACACATTAAATTTGTGTTCCAGAAACAACCCACCCTACCCCAACAGAGTCAATTGGTATTCTCAAATATATTAATTGACCAACTACCATTCAAAAACAAAAGGTATAAATTGAGCAATCGTTTCAAGCAGCAGTCAATTAATACATGCAATTTTATAGGGTTTGGAAAAATGCTTGCCTCCATGAACTGTACAATAAAATCAATGAGCTTGTGTTTCTGCATCTCCTCACAATGGTAATTTGTTACAAGAAAACTAATATCATAACCCTGCATAGAAAAGCATTACACAAAGTAAATAAATATGGCAGATTAATTTATGGGAGTTCATCTTCAAATATGCTGTCATAGTGACTTAAAAACCTGAAAATTCACATTTTCCTACAGAAAAACGATTCCTCAAGTCAAGTTCATGGCACCCACTTAGTTTGTCAAACAGTATAAATTCACAAGTCTAATTTGAACTCCATGCAAGAAATCTATGTACCTGCACTGGCTTTCTCCTCAATACCTGGAATGCTTCTGCCCTCATCGATAAAAATCTAAGAAATTTTTTAGTTAGTATATTTTCAAGTTCATCTGCCTGCTTTACCTATACAAGAGAGAGCACCCATAAGAAAAGGATATAAGGAAAAAATAAATGGGATACTGATTGCAAAATTATATACAACAAAAACTCTTGCAGGTGAGAACTGTAAGCTATCCGGAAAAAAAAAGCACAAGAAAAGTGAACAGCAAGTCCACTTCTAAGAAAACACAGAATCTGCAACCAACTCTATCCTAAAATAGATACAACAAAACCATATAGAAACCATTAAAAAAAAAAGTTACAAAACAGCTACTATTGAGAATAGAAAAGCAGAAAGCGGGTTAGGACCAACTATATACTAAAATATATTCAAGTAAATATAAATACCTTGAGGCTTATGCGAAGGGAATTAATAGATGTCTCAATTAAGCATTTTTCAGCCTCATTTCGACATATCAAAACCTGTGGCAGCAATAGTAAATAATCAGTGTTAATTTTCTTTTCTGAAAAGAAAATAAAAAAGCTCGGTAACGTGAACTTAAGATCTCCATCACATTCTTTTAGGAGTATCTGACTCATCAGAGTTCTATGCGATCAATGACAACTTTAACATCTTGTAACCATAAGATATGAAGTCTAGAAGTTTCACTTTTAACAGCCACAAAATATAGAGGCAAGAGCTCTTTCCTAGCAAATGGCATGGAAACTTAAAAGTGTAGTGATAATAAAGTAAAAAAGAGAGCAGATAGAAAAACATAGAGTCCAGCATGCTGCCCACATTATTAGCTGTAGCCTCCAGTTTTTAATATATTCAATTTGCTTAAAACCAAAAACCATTGACCCAGAATTTATCTAGAAAATGGTAATTATATTATAATAATGTTTAGGCATGAAAGGGAACTATCCTTGCCAAAATTTCTAACTCATACGACAAAGTTTACAACTTTTGGAATGTTTAAACTAGGTGTAGAAAAGAAAAATGTGATTCCTCACACAGTGCAAGGCATTAGGAAAAACGTATATGCAAGCGACCAACTTTATTAAACATAACATTAGAGTAGGAAAAAGGAGAGAGGGAAAAAAAAAAAAGGGAGGGGGGGCGACTGTTCTTTATCATGTCAACAAGATGGTTCTCACAGGATTTAGCAGAAGTTCTGAGCTGGTCCTGCAAAATATGAAGAGAAGATTAAAACTTTATTGAAAAACACATCAATCAATATTTCTAAATTAGTTTAATAGCATATACTTTAAGAAAAGCATTTTTATTGTGGCCACCTTACCAGGACCTGTTTGTTTTCTCCGTACTGATTATATAACATTAAAATAAGAATTTAAGGCAGCAGCAAGTGTAATATTAAGATCAAAGTACAACTAATGAACATACTTTAGCTCAACTTCCGGCTTGTTATGCCTTTCAACTTCTTGACAAGGAAAATTCTGCAAGCAGCATATGATGCAAGACAGAGAATCAATCAGGCATTATAAGCAAATGGACTTTTTTTCTTTTCTTTGATAGAATAAGCATTTGAAATATAATTTACATAAAACAATGAAAATTTAGTACTGGGGTCTACGCATTAGGATTTCATGTGCGTGCTTTCAAGAACCAGAAAACAAAATTTTCTAGAATTGACAGTGCCCACCAACCAAAGTAAAAATAAATAACTGGTCAGGCCTCACAAGACATTTTCTTTCTTTCTCTCGGTACAATCACAAGACATAGTTTAAACCGACTTTGTACTGGCAACCAGACATCACAACAATCTTCAACTAAGGCTAAACTGTGAAGCAAGGATTTATGAATCTACCCACTTAATATGTTTGTGTACACTGTCCCATATGAAAGTTGATACAAGTGTTATATGTCCAACTTTTTCTATTCATAAATATATGATGTGCTCAACATGAAAAACATACCCCCTTTTTTTTTTTTTGTCAATATACTTAAGATTCAAAGCTATATTGAAAATGAACAATTTTTTAAAGCACTTGTACAGATTGCAGAAAGAGACCAAAAATTACTCAAATTGATAATACCTGAAGGCACATTGCGGCATCGAGAGTGTTCCTTATACACGTCAAGTACAATCGCAAAGTATTCGACTGAAAAAACAAAAAGGAAACAAAAAAAATGCAACCCATCACTGAAATACTCTTAGTTGAGTTTAATTCAAGCTTAGAAGTCCGATGGAATACGATAATAATTGTAGTGCACAAGTAATGGAAGTCAAGCAAACCATGCCCTAGATATGTAAATTTGGCTCAGCAATCTCAAATTTTCTTTAGGATCTGTTTGGCCGCCGAGAAACAGAATGTGAAATGACACTCGTAGACTTTCTCGGCAACCAAAGAGAGAGTAGAAAAAGTAGAAAAAAGGATGCTGCTCATTACACATACGCGGATTTTAAAAAGTATAAAAGAGCAAAGATCAGATGGGTTTACCATTTTAGGAGCAGACAAATTGGTTTAGAAACCGGAAGGAGATATTTTGCTGGAAATGATCGCGAGAGACAGAGAGAGAGAGCAAACAGCTTGTTTGGAGTAGTGCTATTGTGCGCTTGTGGAGTGTATTTTGAGGAAATGAGTGCTAAAATACGCGTGCTTCTTAAGGAATGTATAAAACAAAAGAAACGGAATTGAAAAAAATCCGACCTGCCGGATTCGAACCAGCGACCTAAGGATGTCTGCTTTCAAACAACTACAGTCCTCCGCTCTACCAACTGAGCTAAGGTCGGATTGTTTACATTAGAGCCTAACAAATTTTATTTAATGGTATTCAATGAAAGCAGATGTAATTATCCCAGACACTTGTCACATTTAAACGTAATGGCTTCTACTAAGCCGGTGAAAGAAGTTAGGAAAAAGAGTTACATGTTTATTTTTTCCTTTTTTTAAGTTGGTGTCGGTTTGCTGCCATCAAAGACCAAAGTAGCAGTGAGTGTTTAGAGACACCCATGGATAAATATTTTGCTACAGTAATTATGGGCAAATGTTCAAGACATGTTGCACATTTTGTTAGGGGTGGTTGCGGTTCAGTAACCACGACTTTTTACTCAAACCACAAACCGATCGACTATTTGCGGTATGGCGATTTTTGAAACCGCAAAAAGCGGTCGGCTACCTTGAATTAGCGGTTTAAAATTGCAAGTTCTTTTTATGTCATAAAAATCCAATCTTCTACATTTAGGCCTAATTTTTATGCTTCTTTTGAAATCTTTTGAGTTCAAGCATACTTTAACCCAAAAATATAAATTCACAACTTCAACTTCTCAAGTATATATAAATTCACAACCTCCTCAACTTCTCAAGTATTCACAACCTAAAGAAAATTAAAGTTACAAGCATTCCAATTAAAGTTAAACTTCTCAAGCATTCACAACCTCAACTTCTTAAGCATTCCAATTCCAAATCTTTTAAAGTTACAAACCAAAAGGAAAATGCGATGCAAAATGAATTAAAGTTACAACCCAAAGGAAAAATCCAATTCAAAGTTAATTAAAGTTACAAACTAAAAGGAAAATGCAATGCACCAATGTTACAAACTAAAGTTACAAATTCAAGTGTTGATGGTGGTAAGTGGATTTGAAGGACCCCGTTGTGTTGTTTGAGCACCAATGCTATCTACAAAATGCAATTTTTTTATAATAAAAAATATAGTCGCTGTTTGCGATAACCGTAAGTTTTGAAAATCAAATACCATAACTACAACTGCAAATACGGTTCGGTTCTTCATACCACAAAAGCAGTTCGGTTTCCCGTTATTGCAATTCCATTGCGGTAAATTGTCGGTTGATTTTTGCAGTTTTTCTATTTTTCGGTCTAAAATGCCACCTTTACATTTTGTACATGTTCTGGAACACAAAATGCATAAACAAGTCGAGTAAGTTAGATTACATGTGATCCATTATTGTGTTAGACAACCGGTCCAAAGAGTTAAATTGTTAAGAAATGAGCCAGTAATGTATATCAAATTCTAACAACGTCCACTTCCATGCGCACATGATTTTTCGAATGCATTCACATACGTTGAACTAGAGAACTACATGTTGACATTAGATTGATTGAGCAGTTGTCATGTGACTTGCAAGTCATTTATTTGTGACAAACTGAACAAACACGAATATATGACTCGATAATGTACAGTTCTTTTGTTACCCATCACTTTATAGATTTCCTATAGAATGGTTTCTTGTCCAATTTACTCCACTTTTTTTGTTACAAATTTCACTTCTTCAGGAAGACCTCAATTACTGCACCTTGATTCTTTAACTTCTTTCTCTTGTAGAAGGGAATAACTAGACACAAACAAAATAAGAACAAAACCCAATAAGAAGGATCTCAACATCATCATTGTTTCTTCACTCTCTTTTTTCCCATGGTTTCCTCTCAACTAGCTGCTAAGCATATGACCAAGGCTAGCATAGTCAAACACAGTTCCTCTTTAACTCCCTCCCAATAATATTACAATTTGAACAAATTAAGGAAACTTCAGGGTGATTTCCCCAAAAAGGTTACGTAGAATCATGAAGTACATACGTACTCTCTCTAAGACCTGCTTAAATTTCATCCTCCTCGAATGGATCTCGTTCAGGATAGTCACCAACCTGAAATTTAATTAGTCACATTAGTCAACTCCATGAAGAAGTCATGCAGGAAATACACAATGGCCACTCCATAAACAAACGCTTTCAATTAGGTCATCACAAACAATTTCATTTAACATAAAACGCTTCAGATGGAAACGGAATTTGCACCAGAATGGTACATCACAATTTGTAAGATACAGAGGAATCCAATTGCATTTAACGGCCAATGCTGACTCCACAATTTGCAATTTACCATGTCATCATTGAGGAATAATTCCTAAGCTGACTCTGCTCTTTAACCTGGGGTTCTTCTTCTTATGTATAACGGTATAACTTATAAGTCATAAAAATGTTATTGAAATACAATCACACCTAGGTTAAATTGTCAAATATGAGAGAGGTTCATGCAACGAATTTTACCTTAAATCATTGACAGATTTCATTTATCATACTTTTGCAACAGGTCCCTGTACTATGAAAGTTACGAGTCCCTCTAAACAAAACTACCAAGGATATAAGCTAACTTTCAGTTCAGCCTATCCAGGGCTCAAAGGTGAGCCACAAACTATTGTTTTGTTGGTTGAAATACCACAATTGGACAAAATTGCCCCTCCACGTGGGGGGCACGTGACAAAAAACTAACAGAAGTTACATACATTTGACAGAAACTCACTTTTGTCCTTAAATTGCTCGAAATTGAAAGTACATGGACAAAATTGATCAAATTGAAACCACAGGGACTAAAGTGGTTAAAGTGGCAAACTACAGGGACCAAAAGTGACTTTTTGCCTAAAGTTTAAAAAACACATTCATGTTCCTTGTCAAACAGCCAATGGAACCAAACAATAATATACTCCACATCTTTATAGGAAAATCAGAAAGAAAAAAAAAACATTTTGAAGTATTTCCAGCATACAAATGCATACAAACCTTTACTTTGTCTGGCCGTACCATTCCACCATGAAGTGGGGGGCAATTGAAATATCGTGTTCCTTTCACCCTATAATATGAAGAAGAGGAATCTCAACCAAATAATATGCAGAAAACAGGAATGCAAAATTAAAATAGGCAATTCAAAATGTCTACTCATGGTATAGCAAAATCACAACAAGAAAGAATTTTGGTTCCATAGGATTTAGTAACATACCAAAGATCACCAACACTGTAATGGACACCAATTTCAAGAAATATAAGGTTGTATATGCAGAATTTCAGAGGGAAGAATATTCAATATTCATCAATCTTAGAAACAAAAAAACCAAGAATTTATTATTGGCACACGACATACCAAAAAAACATCGTATGAGTCAGGAGCTCACTTACATGCCATCATGCTTTCCCAATGGTTCATCATATTGAACTCCAATCCAGAAACCAGGAGCCAGAGATTCTGCCCGACCAACATATTTAACAACACCTCTTTTATCCCCTGGTTGAACTTCACATCTATCTCCTACCTTCAGCATATAAGTAGGAGAACTGAGCAAATCATGAATATTGTTTCACAATAAACAAGAAAAGAAAATGCTAGTTAACAAATATGAGGAAGATTTGGAAAACCAAGAATGCTCTCAACTCCTACACAAAACACAAGGAATTAAAGAAAAACGATATCAACATATATTCATATAAAATTACAGTTCAAGTGCCATCATGAATGCTGAAGAAAATGCCCACTGCAACTGGAATGGAAAGTAATCCAACTAAATGCTTGAAACCAACAAGGTAAGGAACAATCACCACTTAATGACACAACACCCTATATTATTTCGTGGAAATTTAAATGCTACAAACTTTAAAACCTTCAGATCATAAAAAGATTAGACAAATAATTATGTCATTCTTGTAGTCTGTGTATGTGCCACAATGCTAACTAAGTCAGTAGTACACATAAACCACTGTAAAACTGTTTAACATAACAGACTGAGCCTTGTGGTTTATGCTTGTGACCCAAGAACTACTAATACTTAAACAAAAGAAGATAGGAAAAAGGAAAGAGGAAGCACACCTTGATATTCACATGGAGATCTTCCATATAGTTCTCTGGTATCTGCAAACAAAATTTCAGTCTACAAACTTATGAACATCTCAAGTCACTTCCACATGCAAAGCTAACAACAAAAGTTTCTCAATTTAATTCATGATCAGCATGGACCGGTAGAAGCAATGGCGTGTCATTTGATTTGACAGGCAAAATGCATCTTAAAGGAATAAATAACATAGGTGATGCTTACTTTATTCTCAACAGTTGATGGGTTATGAGATGCCAATTTGTCCTTGAATTTTCTAAAAGTCCCTGAAACAAACCACAAAAATGTGATTTCAAAGACAAAACATATTGAACTAAATACACTTTACAAGAACTATACACACAACAATATATTGCGTAACTTACCATCTCGTTTCTCATAAGCTTCTTGAGAAATAGTGTACTTCTCCACCAACGATGTGTCCTCAAGCCAGCCACCAGAGGTCACTGATGAAGGGTCCAGATCTATAACATGTAGCCGGTAGCTTTCGATTTCAAACACAAATCATCAACAAAAATCACAAATTCAACCAAATCAAAACTCACAAATAACACAAGAGAGAGAGAGAGAGAGAGAGAGAGTGTTTGTGTGTTTGTGTTTGTGTGTACTGACCCGTCGTGAGGGGAATAGAAGCCTAGGGGCTTGGAGTTGTCGTCCAAAATGGAGACTTGGGTGTTGGAGTCGTCGTAGAGGTGGAGCGACATGGAATCTACAGAAGTGCCGCATTTACGCCATAGCTTGTCCTTGACGGACTCCACAGAGCTCTGGAGGGAGAAGCGGATATCGGCGGAGAAGGTCTTGAGGTTCGAATGAGTTACGCGCAACAGTACAGACTCATCTCCTTCGATCTTCTGTAACCGAGTCGCCATTTTCGTGAGTGCGAAAGCTGTGAGCAGCTAGGTTCACTGTAAAACTGGATTAATAGGAGAATTTGACGGAA